AAGCTTTCTTGTAATGAATTTAAAAAAAAAGACTCCAACACACGATGATTCATTTCAGTGACAATAGAGTTGTTAGAAATTCATTTGAGGAGAAGGGAAGTAAAAAATAAAAATCATATTCCAGGAAGGTATTGCACACACTTTTATGACATCTGGACCAAAACGGTTTTTTTTTCTACCAAAAATATGGGCGATTGGGGCATTACATCATTTCATCTCATCATTTATTTAATTATTGATTAAGGGACTGTGAGCATATTTATTTCATAAATATATAAATAAATTTAAGCAATGCTTGACATTGTATTCAACACATGTTAGGTTAAGGTTAAGGCTCTAGGTTTCTGTATTATTTTGAAATGGACAAGCAGGCTATTGACGCCAAACTCCAGCTTATCCATGACAATGTTTGTGGTTGATTAGGGGTCTGCACACATTAAGAGGTTTTATTAATTAGAAAAGCCTTTCGAGTAACTGTCCCATCACATAAAATGATGCTAACATGAATACAACCTAATAAAAAACATTTTATTTTTTACTGTTTTTAAAGCAGTTGTACATCTCATTTAAGTTTCCATCAAAAGTTTGAGCAATTGATTCACTTTGACAATTGAATGACCTTATAATGAAAACCTGCGAAAGCCTCTGTCATTTCCCTCACCTCATGCATCACAGGGTCAACTTCCTGTTTGATGCTGGCCCCTCCCCCTGACATGATGTCACAGCAAGGAGGGCATTAAATTTTTGATCATTAGATAGCCCATCCAAGGTCCAGGAATAAAAATGTTTTAGTGTCATTAATCAGGTAAGACAAAATGTCCTGTTTTGTTATACTCTCCCTTTTAACCTGATGTCCCAATTCCCCTGAATTCACCCCATTAAAGATTAGCATGCATGCATATGTGAAATATGATATATGTCTTTATCAAAATAAATGTTTTGTATTGTGCAATTATTTATTACGATGTGCATTTCCTCCCATAGGTCCAATAACACTGTAGACTGACAGCACCACATTTTTCTGCTTTTCTTATTTTATCTACCTCCTGTTATAACTTTATGTAACCATCACAGGTGTTTGTGTGTGTGTGGTTGTGTGTGTGTTTGTGTGCGCGTGTGTGTGTGCGTGTGACTTTTTTGTTTTAGAGCAGCACAGTTAATTTCACTGAGCAATGTGCAATGACAACAAAGGCATTCTTGAGGTGATATTAGAGGAACCATACGAACTTTAAACACTTTATTAGAGAGGTTCCTGAAGTTCCTCAGGGAAGCTTTTTTGAAAGGTTTTGAGGATCTTTTTTCAAAGTAATTCATGAGGCTACAGATGGCCTTCATTCTCTGAAAACAGCACTGAAGATTTTCCATTTTAACATTTGTCATCCTCAAAGTGATTCTTCTTAGGTTTAGCTATGATTCTCATGAAACTACTTTAGCAATAAAGAACCAATAGTTTTTAATTTGATAAAAGTACTTACACAGTTTTAAATGATCGTGAAAAGTAAGGAAATGCTCATAATTAAAATGTAAATGTCTTAAACACACGCTGAGTGTTCCAGAAAGACATTCATGTGACCATGTTGAATTTGTACAAAAGCCTGTCGTCACAATAAAGCTCAGTACATGAACAAACGTTTTACAGTATTTATATAGTTTTCTCTTCAAGATGTCATAAATTAAATCTGGATATTAAATAACAGACTCAGCAAAGATCATACTAAATATAATCAAACCTAGATTATTATTGATATTGATAAGCAGTGATGCTTTTCTTTAAGTTCCACTTTTTTTGTTTTAATGTTCTTTCTTATATGGACTGATATGAAATATAAGACATAATTATTCCCGTCTTCAGTCTGTGGATGACTTTGCTGCATATCAATACCTGTTCCGATAGCAAAGTAACAAAAAATCCTTGACAGCCAGTAAAGGGTTGTTAAATAAAAAAATTGCAGGAACTAATGAACACTGCCTAAATTGCAAAAAGTTCCATACCGAAATGTCGCCAATTTTTCTTTATTCTTTTTTTTTCTTGCCACTACACGATATGATACAAATCAATACAAACAATATGTTAGGTTACAAAATATGGGATATGAAACGATGCTATGCAAACAATATATGATACGATACAAACGATGAGATATGACACAACATGACATGATGCGAAACGATGAAATGCAGTATGATAGGATAAGATACGATCCTATACATGATATGAAACAATAAGGTCCTCTGTGCCTTTCTACATAAATATGCTATGACGGCATTTGCTTATGTGCTGTGTTTTCTGCGTTTGAATTTGAATTGCTTTCGTATTAGAGCCGATTTCCTTGTAGCAAATGTATCCAGTCAATATCATTGTCATGGCGACAGCTGTAGACATCTCATTACTTATTTATTTTACAAAGTTTTGATTTTAGGTTGAAGAGGGTTCTTTTAGCAAGAGAGAGGACTACTCCAGAGTTCACCATCCTACATAAACAACGGGACTGAAAAGTGTGCTGAGTTATTGTTTAAACTGACTTGTAGATAAAAGAGTGGCTATGCTATGTGGCTGTGCTAGCAGTCAGACACTGATCCTGCTGGTGTTTTCAACGAGAAGGGGCGGAGCTGAACACTGCCATTTGAACAACCTAACCATAGCTTTAGCTCAGAGAAATGTAGACAATTACTTACAGCTGGGAAAACAGTGTACGTACTGCCTCTATAACATGCCTTATGGAAACATCAGTTTAATTAAAACACAACAATAGCTGTGGCTTTGATGACAGAGCCTAGCTGTAAGTTACAACCTGCCCTGTGTACCTGTTACTGACCTCGCCATTATAGAAGGAAATGAAGTAGTCAGACAAAACTGAACTTCTTCAATGTTGTATCCCTGACATCCACAACTCCGTTCCCCAGAGCAGCAGCTAATGTGCCTCACTGAGACCAAAACATCTAACCAAGATGAGCTGATGCTGGCCCCGACTTTGATGTTGTTGAGACATAGAGACCGGTAAAGCTGCACAGCTAATCATAGACGAAGCGCTACATCGTTTGGTCTATCTAAAGGTACTAGCGATGGGTACTCCACGATGTTATTATTAAGGCACTCTCACTACACATCATTTTCTAGCCCTTATATATATCATTGAATACTCGTATCCATCCCTATAACATTGAGATAGACCAAACAATCCAGCGATCTCCTGTTAGGCCTGTCAAATGATTGCGATGGCAATTATGTTTAAATATCAATAGTTAATCACAATTAGTCACATTTTGATTTTTTGTACTGTCTTAAGCTGACATTACTGTTTGAATTCAACCCTGCTTTTATTTTGAAATAAAGTAAGGACCTTCTGTAAGATCGAAGGTTGCGGGTCTAACTCAAACACAGAAAAAGGAACTCATTACTGATCAAAAACTAGATAAAAACAGTTCAAAAAACTGTGAAAAAGGGAAATGTTTGATGTATTCAATTTTTTTTTTTTTTTTTACAGTCAAAATGATATAATTAGCATTCATGTTTGTGTTTATCCTAGCTGACTGAATTTGTCCTCACACTCATGGAGGACACAGGCTTCAGTTTGTCACCTGAATACTGGGAATGTGATCTTTAATACATTTTCATAATTCTGTCAGATGTTAGGAGTAGAGCAGCACAAACAGACCGGCCTTGACCTGAGTGACTGTTCACGTTACCACCCCCTCCCTGAATTGTGTCTGTCAGGTCGTTCTCTGTCACTTCAGGCTTCATCTCAGCAGACAGTCACAGGCGGAGACTGTGGCTGCTGTCTGTCCTGTCCGGTGGTAGTGTGGTGGTGGTGGTGGGGGGCCTCCCCTGGGTGCCCCCCTGTGCCCCACAGACCATATGGCCCAGCCCGGCCCTTCCACAGGGCGAGCTGGTCCGGGACCACCTGAGGCAGCCGGAGCTCTCATAATCACTGGAGACAAGGGCCACTTGACACCAGGCTGACAGATGGTGCTCCAGCTCTGTGTGCGTGTGTGTGTGTGTGTGTGTGTGTGTGTGTGTGTGTGTGTTTGTGTGTGTGTGTTTGTTTGTGTGTGTGTGTGTGTGTGTGAGTGTGT